AGCACCCCCTCCCGTCACTCAGCGCCGCAGCGCAGCGTCCACTCCCGTCACTCAGCATCCACTCCCGTCACTCAGCGCTGCAGCGCAGCGTCCACTCCCCTCACTCAGTACCGCAGCGCAGCATCCACTCCCGTCACTCAGTACCGCAGCGCAGCGTCCACTCGTCACTCAGCGCCACAGCGCAGCGTCCACTCCCGTCACTCAGCGCTGCAGCGCAATGTCCACTCCCGTCACTCAGCGCCGCAGCGCAGCGTCCACTCCCATCACTCAGAGTCCACTCCCATCACTCAGCGCCGCAGCGCAGCATCGACTCCCGTCACTCAGCGCTGCAGCGCAGCGTCCACTCCCGTCACTCAGTGCCGCAGCACAGCGTCCACTCCCGTCACTCAGCGCCACAGCTCAGCGTCCACTCCCGTCACTCAGCGCCGCAGCGCAGCGTCCACTCCCATCACTCAGCGCCGCAGCACAGCGTCCACTCTCGTCGCTCAGCGCCGCAGCACAGCGTCCACTCCCGTCACTCAGCGCCGCAGCTCAGCGTCCACTCCCGTCGCTCAGCGCCGCAGCTCAGCGTCCACTCCCGTCGCTCAGCGCCGCAGCTCAGCGTCCACTCCCGTCGCTCAGCGCCACAGCTCAGCGTCCACTCCCGTCACTCAGCGCCGCAGCGCAGCGTCCACTCCCATCACTCAGCGCCGCAGCACAGCGTCCACTCTCGTCGCTCAGCGCCGCAGCACAGCGTCCACTCCCGTCACTCAGCGCCGCAGCTCAGCGTCCACTCCCGTCGCTCAGCGCCGCAGCTCAGCGTCCACTCCCGTCGCTCAGCGCCGCAGCTCAGCGTCCACTCCCGTCGCTCAGCGCCACAGCTCAGCGTCCACTCCCGTCACTCAGCGCCGCAGCGCAGCGTCTACTCCCATCACTCACTGCCACAGCTCAGCGCCCACTCTTCCTCAAATCCCTGCCTCTCTTTTGCCCCAGGTGAATTCCACACAGCCTTAAGGCCACTGCCCTACAGGCTTTCTCTGACCAAAAAAGCAACCAGGATTAGTTTTCTCTCCTCTTGGAGTGGACCTGTTCCTCCTATGAAGTCAAAATCCTACTCTTTCTCCTGTGAATTCCCCTAGTGCAGGGGCATGTCTTATTTGTCTTGTAAATGAAAAAATGAATGACATAAAGACATCCAAACAATAATCTAGAATAAACTTTTTTTTTCATGGCTAGTAAGTCAGAGGTTAGGCCATACATTGTTTTCACAGTTTTTATGTTTATAAATTTTAAACTCAGGGCTAATTGGTGCAGTGCTTTTCAAAATCAGTCTGTGGAGGGAAAGACTACGGAATTTGTTTAGAATGCAGATCCCAGGGTACCACAGTCAAGGACTGTTCTCAGAGTCTGGGGCAGGGCTCCAGCATCTGCCTGTATAATAAGCTCTCCAGGAGACTCCACTGGAGGGAATCTGGGACCCACTTTCTGAACAACTTGCTCCTAAAGGTGCAGTGTCTCAATCATCACAGTTTAATTTGCACTTTCCATTGGAAAAAGCTATGTACAACTAGTTTTATCATTTTAATTAGTAGCACATTTTGATTAGTAGCACTTGCTCTTGCCTGAATACAGCTGCCTATGAGTGAGAGACACATAGAGTGAAGAAAACAGTAACTTTATTTACTATCCAATACCATCCATCATCCACCAGAAAATGGATGACTGCTAGCAAGCCATTTAAACTCTGGGATGCTGTTTTCTTGTCCATAATACAAGATGGTTGGACCTTAATGAGCTTTCTCCAAACTATAAAATCCTGTGGTTCCACTACTGTCATTCCCATCACTGCCACAGTCTGATCCCGGCTTATCCCCTTCTGCGGCTTCTCCTCGCCTGCACCCTGTCCTTGGAGCACACCACCATCTCGCCCTTCCACACCCACCTCCTCCTTACCAAGCACCTCAACCTTCAGGCCCGGCTCAAGATGGGCCTTGTCTCTGACACTGCTTTGTTTTGTTTTGTTTCGGAGGGGAATGCAGGAAAAGAAACAATATACTCAACAAGTTGAAGAATCAACAGTTTGTTTCACCAGAGTGACTAGAGAAACTGTAAAGGATGCTTGCTAAACGATAGGGAGTTAGAAGAAGACACCGTGGGGAGAGGAATCCTCTTTGCCACTCCCACCACCACTCAGCAAAGCAGCAAGCTGTCAGATTCCTCATCTTCCCCAAGCAGATCCTTATTCCCTGTCCCTTCCTGGAGGGAAAACAACTCAGTGAGGCCCCTGCAAACATGTCTCCCAACCCTGCATTTATTCCACATCCAAACCCAGTGTTGAGCCCTTTGAAAGGGGAGAATCGCTGTCTATAAATCAAAACCAACTCTATTCAGGTGGGAAGGAAGGCTCCCTTTACACAAGAATAAATGTGGGATTAAAAGGGCAAAGCACATGTACTACTAGGATTCCACAAAGGGTAACAATGAAACTGTCAGCAAAGGAAGTTACAATGACACATAAAACATATTCTTATCCTATAAAAAGTATTTTCAACTTTAATTATATCTGATGTACTTTCTTTCTACGGATTAAATTTCTTACCTCTTTCTAGGTATGTATAAGTTTAAAAAAGAAAAGAAGACTGCAAATAAAACATCCAAAAAGAAATGGGTTTCCCACCTGAGGGTCCAACCATCCTGATGGAAAACTGCACTCCTCCCTATGGAAATTTCTTAGGACCACCATGCTTCTCCTGCCTCATTGTAAGATTTACTGCTAAGTAACAAACACTCCTTCACCCTTTCTCCTGCTCATTCCTCCTGTGATGCCTTACATTTCCACCACCCAGGGGGTTAGGCATGTGCCTTAGTTGCAGCAGCAAGCACAGGACCCAGCTCTAAGGATCACACGTGCCTCCTTCCAGAAGCCTCCCTGCTCCTCTTTTCACCTGTAAAACCAGAAACCCCATGTTCTTCACCACTTTCCCTTCAGAGACAACAGCAAACTCACTCTGCATTTTTGGTTGCTGTTGTCATGTTTTGCTTTTTTCTGCGGGGAGCAACTGAAGGATATGCTCCAGTATAGGGACAGTATCAACTGAGGGCAAGTAGGTAAGATATACCTCTTCATTTCTTACTATGCGGTACTGGCAATAATGATAAAGTCCACTGTAAGCCCTTAATGACATAGTCATTTTAGCTGCCCTCTTCCCAGCTTTCTCAAGGAGCAGATGATTATGGCTGGATCCTCAAGGCTGGCCTGTGGCTCAGGAAACTTATCCTTAGGTGCTAAGTTTGAGAGAAAAGTGGTATAAATTGTAAGAAAATAGAGGCAGTGGGCCCACATGGTTCCTGGAAGATCTATAAATTATCTTGCAGAGTCAAGCCCCACAGTAAGCAGGTGAGGCCAGGAGAAAGCAAGGGCACTTCACATCGGTTACCGCCCCCACATGACTGCTTAAAGAAGAGGAGAGTTGGGGCAGTTCCCAAGAGACTCCCTCCTGCAAAGGAGCCAGAGGCACAAACACACAGCTGGGAAGCACCCCCAGGGCCCGTGCCCCTGTTGAACCGTGAGAGCTGGGATCTGGCAGGCATCCTGAACTGCACTCAGTTCAGCCCAACAAGCTGATAACAACCACATCCCAGGACAGGTAGGCTCTCTGCCTTCACCTCCCCGGGCCCGGGGGAAAGACACTGGCGTGTGCTCCCATGGTGGGCAGGACGGCCGCAGAGGGGGGACAGGAGAGGCGCATGGAGACCCAGGCGGGAAAAAGCAGGAAGGAGGGGAAACCGGCACGTGGCACTCTGCGAAGGAGGAGGACTGGGTCTGGTGGGGACAGGACCTTGTAACAAAGAAACGTCAGGTGTTTCCATTTCAGGGCTGGATTCGCCGACCGTATTAGAAATGGATGCTTTGGAACGTGGAATCAGCTTGCTGGTGAACATGCAGTGATCCCGTAACTATCTGCCGAGTGTGTGCGTGTGGTAGGCACTCAGCTGGGTAGGGCTGGGGATACACGGGGTCCTGACCCTCCATTTAGGAAGTCTGGTTTAGGGAGGTGTCAGATATACATAATCACAAACCAGAACACAATCGGATGGGGACTATTCTGTCTCCTCCCCGGATAATGTGATGCACAAACACTAATGACATCAGGACTGAACTTCCTATTTGAAAATCTGGACAAATCCTCCACTGCCTGGGTGGCTAACGCTCCTTCAGCTCCTCGGAGCTGCCTGCAGCCTGAGCTGCTGCTGAAAGAGCTGACTCCGAGCACACGTCCACAGGCTCCCTGTGGGCTGTCGATTCCCAGACCTCTCTCTCATCCTTGTCATCAGTGCAAAGTGCAAGGTCCTCTGGTCTCCTGTCCTCAAGGGAATGCACATCCCCACAGAGAATCACTCTGCTTCCCAGGGACTCATCCTCCCACGCCCACTGCTCTGCCTTCCCCACCCTTTCCTCTCTCAGCATCTGAACATCATCACAGAGTATACCACTCAGATCTGTCCTAACCTGGCTCACCTGAAAACACTACTTTCTTACAGTGAGACCATGAATTTCCCCACACTCACCCTTCACCTGGGGTGGAAGGGAGGCAGACGGTCTCCAAGCTGACCACCATGGGCTAGCCCACGGAAGGCTGCTGCTTTCCTCCCTCATGCAGGCCCTCCCTCTCTGTGACTTTGTCTCCTGCCCATTTCCTACGGGGGTGGAGGTTCAGAGAATGTACTCTGACATCCGGCAGTCTTAGGTTTGAGTTCTGGCCACTTAGGAGCTGTATGACCTTGGGCAACACATCACCCCTCTAAGCCTCACTTGTACTGCCTGTAAGATGAGGGTGATTAAAGTACCCATATCTCACAGGACTGCTCTGTGGATTAAATAAACTGATATGTGAAAAGTACCCAGGATAGTGCCTGGAACACAGAAGCCCTCAACACCTGTTAGCTATTTTATATATATCATTATAAACTGGAAGCTTCCGGGTCTATGTGGAGGAAGCAGTTTCAACATCCTGACCTCGCTTGATCTTTCGGAATCCAGTGACCCTTGCTGCCCCTCCACTTCAGCCACTTACTTTACTAGCCACAGCAATCTCAAATTTCAAGTCAGATATCTTAGTCGCTGAGCACAATGGTTCATCCTTCCTTCCAGGTCTCTCAGGCCCAAGCTCCCACCGCACCAACCCTTCAACCTCCCGGAGACATCTACTCCCAAATCTCTCCCTTTTCTTCTTAGCATGGGCCTCATCCTGATGGTACCTCCTTAACAATACAGCCCAAACCCATGGCGTTTTACCTGAGTCACCACCTTCACGATACTTCTAAATTTCCTGCCCCTTTAACCTCCATCCATAGCTTGTCTCTCAACACCAACCCCAAGTCAGTTACACCCAGAGATGGCAAACCTGTCTTCATTCAAAGGGAAGTGGGATGTTGCATACAACTCTAGAGGGTCTGTGCCCTCTGAAGGGGCTTCACTACTCACTCCATGCAGAAATGTACAGTGTTGCGATACCTTTCAACTGCTCAAGAGAAGCCAGAGTTTTAAGTCAAGCATCCCAGGTTTTAAATGCTGATGACTAATTTAAAGATGGCAAAAAAAAAAAAAAAAAAAAAAAAAAAAAGGCAAATCAAAGAAAACATGCCTTGGGGTCAAATTCAGCCCAAAGGCTGCCAACTGCAAATACCCAAGTTGTTGATGACTGGTGGAGAGGAAAAAAAAAGGGGTACACACTCAGCAGTAGCTATTCCACCTCTTCAACACTGGAGTCCCTCACCTGTCCAAAGACCTCCATTCACCCCTAAGGATCATTCTGTCAACTAGAGGCACAAAGAGCTGATGCTGTGTGTATATGGTGAGTAGGGGAGTGTGAGTGGGCACAGATGGGAAGTGTCCATCAAACAAGAGGAAGTGGGGATGGAGGGAAAGACATTCCAGGAAGAGGAAAGAACCTACTCACATCTACAGGGCAAGAAAGAATATAGTGTTTTAGGTTGGAGCAAATGGTTCAGCC